CCTGCCCCGCGGCTGTCCCGCTGCCGGCGTCCTCAGAGGCTTTGCTTCCCGTCTCCCTGGTCTGCTGGAGACCAGCAGACCAGGGAGACGGGCAGCAAACCCCGTTCGTAACTGCAGATCTGACATAAGTCGGATCCACGTAACTCGGGGACTGCCTGTAGTTAAGATGCAGCAGCTAGAGAAGTTAAAATGTAGTTATTTGTGTAAACAGATAACCGCTGAAAAAAAATTCAGTGGCTACATGTTTATGCATGGTGGGGGGAAGGTGGTACTAATGGGAAGTGGGCTTTTAGCCATTTCTATGCCAGCACCCGCTCTCATCTCCCGCCTGCCTCCCCTCCCCCTCTGTGCTGCTGCCTCACTGAGGGGAAGTGGGGGGCATGCAGGAGCTGGCATGTACAGGGAGCTGGCTTGAACTTTCCCCTCACTCCCAGATGAAGGGAATGGGAGGCATTGAGCTGGGGTAGTCCTGGACAGGGGTAGAGGGGAAGGAGGGAGTGCACCCAGCCAGCTCCTTTCACCTGCTGGGTGATTCTGTCTCTTTTCTGTATGACTTTATGAGAAGCAATCCCATTCCAAGCTGCAATGGACAGGAGGAGTGCTGACCAGCACCCGGTGACTAAGGAGTTAAGCTCAGGTAGCTAGCAAAGGTTTTGGGGCCAGGAGAACCAACCAAAATAGAGTGTTGAAATTTCAACTGGATATAGGTGTCTTGCCTGTTTTGTGTAGGAGAGAGAAACCGGGGGTTGAGACACACAGAAAAATTTAAACCCAGGCAGGACTGACATGTCTCCAAGTAATTCAGGGTATGGGAGAGGGCTGAACAAAGAGAAAATCAGAAGTAAAAGGGAAAAGTGAATCCAGTCGCATTCAGGGTAATTTTCTTTATTTTGTGGTTTGGTTTGAACTGCTCTGTGTGAATCTATGCCTCCCCTCCCCAATGACTACCCTGCATTGTGCCCAGAGACTTTTCTTTGAGTTTTTTTAATTTCTTTTCCTTAGCGCTCTGTAACATCTAGCAACCAAGTATACTTTATCAAGTTTATCTTTTGTTTTGTAATAAAAATCACTTTTTTTAAGGTGAGGATTTGATTCTTGTGTCCTGGAAGGTCTGTGTGTACCTGCATGCCTCTGACTGAGGGGTCAGCTACCAGAGACTGCAGCTTTTTTCCCCCCCTCTTTTCAAGTTCTTTTGGGGCAAAAGAGCTTGGGATACCCGTGGGGGTGATTTCAAGTGTTCACCCCTGGTTTTTAGGGACAAAAAGGAATTGATGGTGGCATTGATTCCCCAAAATCTGTGGATTATGAGTCTGGGGGGGAGTTTTTGTAACCAGTGCCTGTAGAGGCAAGGTTTTGAAGCTCTCTTGTGGGCCCTCACCTTCTCCACTCCGAGTACCAGAGTGGGGAACAGCCCTGACATAAGCACATCCCATTTTCCTGGCACAGTCAAACCCTTACCTTGCTTTAAGTTATGATAGGAGGAAGCTGTATACTGTATTTGGTTGTCCTAGCTTTTACCATTTAGGAGGGGTTCTTGAACAAACAAACAGACAGATGTACACATAGACACTCACACAGACAAACTCCCTCAAATATATAGCAGAAGTACAACTAGTGAAAAGCATCTGCACTGGCAGAATTACTTTTAACTTATTAAATAGTTTTTGCCATTGAACCAGATCATCTCCAATTTGATCCTTTAGTTCTATATCATTGTTCTCAATTCACAGAAATTGTACACTATCCTTCCATCCAGAAGAGGAAACACATCAAGGACTTCCACTGCAATAACACCTTAATTTCAAGTCAGCATTTCTCTCTGCAGGAAATTAATATTTCAACCAATAACCTCAAGTCTCTCTTTTTCTGCCACAAGCTGAAACTCTGGTCTGCCTCCAGTGTTTTGGAGTATGCAGGATAGGTTGGGGTTTTAATGATAGCAGTGAATCAAAAGACAAGAAGTCTGCATCAAAGGCAACAAAACTAGCTTTTCTGAAAGCTGTTACTTGTTGAGACCAGGGAGTACTGATTCTAAGGTACCAATCACTGGCGGTTGGAATTGTTTTTAAACCTGTTGTATCCCTGAAGCAAGTATTTCCTAGTCTGTCACTACTTACTCTCTAATTTCCAGGAGAGCTAATCAAAACTTACAGAAATACACAATAACTTGTAATATACATAAATCTTTAAAACATAATATTGTTGAAACATAACAAATAATACTAACAGAGGCAGGGATTCCAATGTCAAGACTAAAGATTAACACTAGAAGAGCTTCAGCAGCATAGATGCAACAATACAACTGGTGTTGCTGGAGCACCATGGTGTCCAACCAGTTCTGAAGCCACTATACTGGTTACTGCTATAGTGAACTACCACACTCAACCTGCCAAATAGCCACATATGGCTAGTGTCTAGCATGTTGGACACCACAGCTGTAGCGCATTTGGTGAAGATGCTCTATGCCAATGGGAGAGAGCTCTCCTGTCAACAATGCATCACCCACACTGGCACTTAGGCTAAGAGGGACAACAATATATTGTTTAAGAGGGACACAATGTTGATCTTTAAACAAGATTAGATTCTGAGAGCGCCCAGACATGAAGTTAGCTACTTAAATGGCAGGTTTAAATTGAAGCACCTTGATGTGCCTCAGTGTTGAGGGGTCTCAAAACAGTGCCTTTGCTAAAACAATCAATACTTAACAATACCAAAGTAACAAGAGGGAAAAAGAAGGATTAGCACTTATTTTATCTAGAGATTATGTCAGTATAGCTTATTGCCCAAGAGTGTGACTAAGCCATAAGTGGTGTAACAGAAAGGGAAAAGTCTGCTAGCAGGGCCGGTTATACTATATAATGACAACAGAGGACAGCAAGAGGCCAGAGACAGGGACCTAGATAGCTATAACCCCCTGGCGTAGCAGGGGGCAGAGGTGGAGAAAAAGATACAGCTATATACAATTTATTTGAGACAGTTTGTGTCTTTGTGTGTTTGTTACCTAGCCAAAGGACATGCACTCCTTTGTCAACTGTGCCTGCTGCAGCAGACATGGACAGGCACTTCTCACCTGGCCCCAAGCTGCAGTGGTGAGAGAGGGCTGGGGATGTCCTCTCTCCTCAGAGCAGCCTGCATACTGAACCCCTCATCTCCAGCTCTACCCCAGAGCAACGACTAAAATGAAGAAAAACAAAATATAATTTAATTAAGGAGCCAAGCAATGCTAGATAAATCCTCTAGTTTTGTATAATAGTAGTATCTGTGACACCCCTCAAATCTCCCAGACCAGATCATTTCCTGACAGAGAACAACTGCCCTCCCCAATTTTTTTTTCCCAATGAAGTTCATTAGGCCCTCAAACAATCAGTTCTGTGGGCACTGGTGATTTTATTTTCTTAGAAGACAGGAAAATACTTAAATACTTCCATATACAAGAATGAGAAGTATGAGCAACTGTTTAGACTGTTCAATTACTGATGGGCATTAAGTTCTTAATTTTCTGTATACTTTTTCCAGAAAACAGAGCTGAAAATACAGTTTCAAATGGAGTGGACTAATCTTCATGCTTATTTCCTCCGCTTAAATGTGTTATATGCAAATAAATGTAACTTTTTTACCTTTTTTATTTTAATTGCTCCTTGTCCCTAATATTAAAAGCAAGCAGAGAAGATAGAGGCAGATTTTCTTAAATTTTAAAAACGGATGTAGATTCCAGTTGCACATGTAGACAGACCTACCATGAATAGCATCTTAGAAACAGGGAGGACTGACTTCCTGTTTTTATCTGCTGATTTCTGAGTTAAGTAATGTGTATTTCTGCAGGAATTGATAGTCATCACAAACTAAAGCAGTGGAGAGGAGTGTTTTACAAAATACTGACAAACTCCTGTCTTGGTAGGTAGATAAGAGGGAATTATTTTCCATGTTTAAGTCTTGTATATTTCCCCAACAAAAAACCCCTTCAACCTTAAAGTGATAGGTTGAAAAAGCAGAGTTCAGAATGATCTGGGGATCTTCTGTGAGATTGTTCTTAAAGGCCTCCTAGATTCTTAGAAAGTTTTGCTGGCATATTGTATATCAGTTAGAGATTGTTTCATTGGTTGTGGGGGGTTTGGTCAACATTAAAAAAAAGGATACAGAGATGGCAGTGTGACAACAATAATTAGCACTGTTGTCACACTGCCAGCCAGCTCTGTATCCTTTTCTTTCTCTCTCTCATATCTGAGGAAGTGGGTTGTAGCTCATGAAGGCTGATACTCTAATACCCTAATAAATCTGTTAGTCTTTAAAGTGATACCAGACTCTTCATTGTTTTTACATCTATATTAAGATTTGACAGTATAGGGGTTAGGATTAGGGAGACTTTCCAAGGACACAAAAGTGCAACTAGGTGTCCAACATCAAAGAGTTTGGAAATTCTCACTTATGGTCTCAACAACAACCACCTCTTCTTTACCTGCAACTCATTTGCTATACATAGACTGGAGATCACAACCTGCATCATATTCTGCTACTCAGCACTCATTTTTGTCCCCTAGAACATTTATTACAATGCAGCCTTGTAAAAGAACACTAATGCTCGTAAATATGCCAAGGAGTGTGACAGGGCAAGAGTCTGGACTTTGAATCGAAAGACATTATTTTCTAGCCCTATATTTCTTGGGATTTTAATTGGTTTTTATAATCTAATTGAACATACTGAACAGAATCTTAAGGGTTACCTGCAGTTGATTCAAGTTAATGTAACCTTTTTCCCCTCATGTAAATTGCCATTGACAATTGCCACAGACAAGACATTTACCTAAAAATTGGCTAGTTTTGTATAGGTTTGAAAATGGTTAGATGAGCACTTCCCTGTGAAATCCCTTTGAAATCTTTGGAATGCCCACTTGTCATAGCTAGCATATGGGTAAGTTATCACTGAATAAACAAGAAAATCAATTCTCTGTCCCAACTAAGAAAAATGACCCAACACCAGGAAACATTTTTTTTGTTTACTTAATCCAAGAATCATAACAAATAAGAATCAAATCAATAAGAGCACAGTACAGGAGATTCAATTCTTCCTTTATGCATTATTTGGAAGTAAGTCGTTGAAACACAAACAAAAGAGAGATCTATTGTTAAACTATATCTCCTACTGTCTTATTTCAAAGGTACATCCCTTTGCAAGGACACTTAATTGTCCTGAGGTATGAATTTTCTTCAGGGAAAATGAAGAGGAGCACAACAGGAGACTGAAAAAAGACTAAGGAGGGTACAAAACGAAATAAGAGTCCAAAATCACAAAGTTATTGAGCAGAGCAGTGGCAGTTTGACCTTCTTTGCCAGAGCACACGGTGGCTGTGCCTGGTTTCTATCTGTTTTGTGCCAGGTACGAATAGGTCACGAATACATTAAGCAGGCTGAATCAGTGACAAAAGCACAAAGGTGTAGGGGAGCTGGGGAGGGCGAAGGAAAATGCAGCAGCAAGCAAGGGGCAGGAGTGAGAAATGGCGAGAAGGTCAGGCATCATCAGCCCTGAGGGGATATAATTAGGGCTCCTCCACCCGGCCGGCTTACAAGCGCTAGCACGCAGAGCCAGGCACACAGCGACCAGAGGGGCAAGGGCAAGCGTACACGCAGCAGCTGCTGTCGGGCTGCGCAAGGGCAGCAGCTTAAGATGCAGAGAAAACCCCAGCAGATGAGTAGGGCAGGCCCCCGCCTTTCTCTCCCCCCTTCCCCCAGCTGGGGCTTCTCTCCCGTGCCGCCCTGACCTGAGCAGTGCCAAGAAGGCGGCGGGCTCTACGTCGGGCAGCTCGATCTCGGCCGAGGTGGTGGCCATGCCACCGTTGAACATGGCGTCGAAGACGGCGCTGCCGGCGGCCAGCAAGAAGCGGTGGGCGGGGATGCGCTGCTGGCCGGGCCCGCCGCCGCTGCCGGGCTGTCGCGGGCCGCCCTTGCCCACGACGAAGCGCACGTCGCTGAGCAGCTCGTTGGTGAAGAGGAAGGCGAAGCGCTCCTGCAGCGAGCCCTTGGTGGCCTGCCAGTTATACACGGGCTCCCGCTGCAGCGCCGCGGGGGCCGCCTCCGGGGGCCCGCCCGAACCCCCCGCCGTCGCCATCGTAGCCCCGCGGGTCGCTCACTCCGCCCGAAGCGCTCTCTTCCCTGCCACCGCGGGGGCCTCCGACGCGCGTCACTGTCCCAAACGGTTTCCCGTTGGCGCTAGTGCGCATGCCACTCCAGCGAGCTGCGCATGCTCGGTATCAGCGGCTGAAGGCCTTGCCCGGACCTTGCCCTTCCTTGCCGTCACCATCAGTCTCGGGAGCGGCCAGGGGGCAGTTCTGTCGTAGAGGGCAGTAGAGGGCGGCACCATAGGGTGGAAGAAGGGGCGGGGGAGGGGGAATAGGGCAGAGGAGAGACACTGCAGGAGACGGGACCGAGCGGGTAAAAGGTGCTGTGCGGGCAGTGCCCGGGATAGGGCCCACGTGGCACAGGGTTGCATTGCTCCCTGCACGGTGGATCGTAGCCAGCGCTTAATTGCAGCGGGAGAGGGCCTGAGTGGAGGCCCAGTAACTGGTTTCAAGCCCACTGGCGGGTTTTGGGGGTTCTTGTGGGTTATTTGCAGTAAATCGGGGAAAGGAGCACTAATAAGCTATGCCCCCATGCCAGCATTCCCCTCTACATCTGTATGTAAAAAGCACAGATGAGGCTGCTCTAACTCAAGCAATATACTGAGATGCCAAAAAGAACATAAGAATGGCCATACTGAGTCAGACCAAAAGGTGCATTTTGCCCAATCTGTTATCTAACAGTGGCTAATGCCAGGAGACCCAGAGGGCATGACCAGAACAGGTCACCCTGAAGTGATCCATCACATGTCACCCATCCCTATCTTGACAGAAGCTAAAGCCATCATCCCTGCCCAGCTTGGTTAATAGTCATTGATGGCCCTATCCTCCCTGAATGGCTCTAGTTCTTTTTTGAACCCTATTAAAGTCCCATCCTTCACAATATCTTTTGGCAAAGAGGTCCACAGGGTTGTGCTTGTGTGAACACTTCCTTTCATTTGTTTTAAACCTGCTAATTCCATTTGATGACACCCCTGGTTTTTGTGTATGGGAAAAAGTAAATAACTTCTCCCTATTTACTTTCTCCATGCTAGTCATGATTTTATAGACCTATCATATTCCCCTTTAGTCATCTCTTTTACAAGCTGAAAAGTCCCCCTATTATGAATCTCTCCTCCTGTGGCAGCTGTTCCATACCTCTAATTATTTTTGTTGCCCTTTTCTGAACTTTTTCCAAGAAACTTGATTCAGTGAAATATTTCACCCTCACCTCTCCAAATATTGGAGAGGATGAGAGAAAGAGTATACACACAAGCCATATATTAGAACAGATAAAATATAGGATTGCTTTGATTAAGAACAAATGCTGTTATCAGTTAACATATAGGCTACGTCTACACTGGCCCCTTTTCCGGAAGGGGCATGTAAATTTCACCAGTCGTCGTAGGGAAATCCGCGGGGGATTTAAATATCCCCCGCGGCATTTAAATAAAAATGTCCGCCGCTTTTTTCCGGCTTTTAAAAAAGCCGGAAAAGAGCATCTAGACTGGCCCCGATCCTCCGGAAAAAGTGCCCTTTTCCGGAGGGTCTTATTCCTATTTCAAAGTATTTTTATTTAAATGCCGCGGGGGATATTTAAATCCCCCGCGGATTTCCCTACGACGACTGGTGAAATTTACATGCCCCTTCCGGAAAAGGGGCCAGTGTAGACGTAGCCATACAGATTATTCTACTATGTCTAAGGATCAGGCTTGTGGGGCTGGATTACCCAATAGGTAGACTAACCACATGCTTAGGGCACCAGCAAAGCAGAGTCATCCCCCCACACCCCAAAAAAGTTACAGTATAGTATTGTTTTTATTTTGAATTACATATGGGGGGCACCATAATCTTTTCAGTGCTTAGGGCAGGAGTCTCCAACCTTTTTAAGCATGAGATCCCTCTTTGAATTTAAGTGGAATCCGGGATCTACCTCAAACCCAAACACCCTGGCCCCACCTCCTTTGTGCCCCTTCTCCGAGACCCCACCCCTGCTCACTCCATCCTCCCTCCCTTTCACCAGGCTGGGGCAGTGGGTTAGGGTGCAGGCTTTGGTCTTGGATTAAGGGATTTGGAGTGTGAGAGGGGCTCTGAGCTGAGCTTGGGGCAGGTAGTTGGAATACCCGAGAGGGTTCTAGGTGCAGGCTCTGGGTGGGTGTTTGGATGCAGGGGTGCTCGGGGCTAGGGCAGAAGCTTGGGGTGTAGGAGGGGTTCATGACTGGGATAGGGTTTTGGGATGTGGGGTCTGACTGGTCACTGCTTACCTCAGGTGGCAGTGCAGTGGGGCTAAGGCAGGCTCACCCCTGCCCTGGTCCCGCACCACTCCCTAAAGCAGCCAGCAAACTCCATCCCAAGTCCTGTTGTGCCCGCCACTCTGGAGATAGGATACAGAGTGAGAAAGGGGGCACCTTGACATCAGCACCCCTCCTCTCCCTTCCCTGCCTTGCCCAGCAAGCAGGAGGCTGCTAAGGATGTGGGGAGGTAGCCCCAAGGCAAAGGGCAAGAGGTGTGCAGCTTTTTGTGGAGGGGCAGTTGAAGTGCTGACATTTGATAGCCTCTTGGCCAAACCGGTCAGGATCACATGTCACAGGCTCCAAGATCTACCGGTAGATCCCAGTCTACTGGTTGGTGATCACTGGTTTAGGGCCTCTAAAAGTCTTAATCCGGCCCTGCTTGTGGTAATACAGCCACATGAATAAATCTCTCATACATCTAGTAGCACCATAATGTGATTATAGGTTATAGCCAGCTAGAAAGTGAAATTCACAGAAATTAACTTCAGCCAATGTTTGTGTATGACTTAAGTTATAGTATTTTTGAATAACTAAGAAATTAAAAGTTTCAGAGGGGTAGCTGAGTTAGTCTGTAATAGGAAAAACTTTACCACACCAGCAAATAGTCTGGTAGCACTTTAAAGACTAACAAAACATGTAGATAGTTTCATGAGCTTTCATGGGCACACCCACTTCTTCAGAGGATACCATAATAAATTAGAAAAGTAGTTAGGTCTCATTTTAAGGTAGCATCTGACTCCTGCAATTGGTCATGTGTGTTCTCTCTTCCTGGGGAAAAGAACTGAAATATCACATAAGGGAAAAAAGTACAACTGCACAAAGTGTACAGTTGTGATAGCTACAGAAATGTACATTGCAATACGCATGGGCCTGAACTCAAATTTACAGTTTAATAATTTTAGTTTAATTTTTTTTTAGTTTCTTGAAAGTCTGCAGGTTTACCAAATGATATTTTAGTGCACTTGTGACCAAAAACATAAAACTTCAAGTTTAACAATAAGTTTAATTAAAATTTATTTACTTACATTTTTTAAATATTGAAATGACATCTATTATCCTCTTCTGAAATTTCAAGTTGACAGAGAAGCTCCATCCAACAGTTGGTGACCCCCTGGATCAGGTATGTGGAAAGGTACGGTGCAGCAAATTCTGACAAAGACCATCTCTTTATTATCCTTAATTCTATGAAAAAGGGAATGGAAAAAATGGTACACTGTCAGTGTCAGTTTCTGAGAGGAAACCATTTCTGACACATCCCATGTTCATTGTACTGAAGTGCAGCTGAACTCCACATGAGATGTCTCAATGGAACTGTGATGGACAGGAAGGTGGAGGTAATTATAATCTGCCTTCTTACTATTTCCTGCATAAATTCAATTATATAAGATGTCCTTTGCAACATACCCAACTAGAAAGATAAATATCCATAAGAATATAGAATAAATTTGCAAGAAGTTGTATGAATGCAAGTTCATTAGCACAGTAATCTGGATCCTTTTGCCATCTGCTGGAGTTTTGCTGTAACTACAACAGCAATCTTAAATTACTTGATGACATTAATCATCTCTCATGGCTTCTCAGGCTTTGTGGAAGCATGTGCCTATCATAGGAAAATAATATGTCACCACCCCATGTGCAGGTTTATAATTAGGACAAAACTAAGAACAAGAATGGACTGATCCTCTGAACAGAAGACACTGAAAAAGGCGGAGGCAATTTCATTGTGATAGGCAAAAGCAGGACACAAGGGGTGCATCTATACTGCACTGTTATTTCGTGATAACTAGCATTATTTCGAAATAATGCGATTGTCTACACAACTAGTCCATTATTTTGAGATCATTTTGAAATAATGGATGGCTTATTCCGAAATCTGTAAACCACATTCTATGAGGAATAATGCCTATTCCGAAATAGCTATTTTGAAATAAGGCATGTGTAGCTGCTCCACTGCTGCTATTTCGAAATAGACCCTCACCAGGACCATTCTACATTATACCTCCCCAGTGCCTCTTGGGGATCTAAATAGAGATAGCACATCCACATTAGGGAAGCCTGCGTCGGACTAATTTTGAGGCTTCCCTGCAGCGTACAAGTGGTATATTGAAATAAGCTATTTTGAAATAGTTTATTTCAAAATAAGCATGCAGTGTAGATGTACCTAAGGAAAAATAGCATAGCAGCTGCTGGCCAGAAGTAGCACTGAACAGGAGATCTGTGTTGAAAATGCATTCACTCTACTCACTTGAGAAAATACAGCTAGAAAAATCACCATCCTTGTGCTTCTGATCTTTGGTGCAGCTGGAATACACACAGGCCTCCAGAGAGTAGCAGTAGGGCTGTAAATGCAGCTAACAGCATTATGCCACCAAAGATCAAGAAGGTGAGGATTCCTCCTCCTCCACTCCACCTCACCCCACTGGAACCATTCTAGTCGAGCTTATGGAACCAATACTGTGCCCTTATTGGACAATTCATTTATGGGAGTCAAGTGCCAGATTTAAAGGAAAAAAAGAAGTTAGTTGCCATGAAAAGATGTGACAAGCCATGGAGAAAAAGAGGGAAGCTGCAAATTAGAGAACCACGAGGTTATCCAGGAGACCAACCTTTATTTTCTAGAGATGCTATTTCAAGTCAACAGGTATCTGGGCGTCATTAGGGGAGGAGGTTTTGGGTACTTATTTCCTCCCTCTCCCTTTATAGAAAGAAAACCTAAAATTCACCAGAGGATACACAGTCCAATAACTGGGCCCTACTAGCCTCTGGGACTCCTGATTATTAAAATAATTATCCTTGGTAAAATGTATGCAAATTGCATTATGCACCAG